AACCACGACACGATCGTTGGGCGACAGTGAAGTTTTTGTGACTGTAGCGGTCGAGGAAGAGCTCGTCGATGCAGAGGAAGATTATTTGGGACGCGATTTGGTCGTTCAAGAAATTAAAGTCTTGATGATTTAGGAGCGATCCTCTGTGTACATAGATTGTAGAGAGAGAAATAGACATATATATATACATATATGTAATGTGGTATATTGAGAGAGATTAGGGTGTTTTTAGTCTTTTTAATTTAAAATACGAATTTTTATATAAATATCAATATTTAATTATGGGCAATATCGTAAAATCACACATCTCAGTTAGTAAAAGTGACGGCCGTCACTGAGAGGGGTGGCAGGTGGAATTATAAAATGTAGAAGGGGTGTAAGTGGAATATTGACAAAGGTCAGAGGGTGTAGGTGGAAAACAACCAAATGCATATATTCATTAGGGCTATATGCATTTGTAAATAAACGGTAACTTACACCTAATTTATTGCTACCGTTCATCCAAATTAAATGCTATATGCATTCACAAAGATAATGTGACCTTCAAGAGATGTTTATTTGAACATTAAAAGTGGAGTCACCAAACTGTCCGGCCGCTGTTGCCAGCAAACTTAAATGTTGTTGGACCATAAGCACATGAGTAGTTTTAAATCACACGAGTATCTCTATCTATATTGTGAATACAGCATACCCTAAATAGGTTTAAGCCCAATAATTTAATTTCTTAATTCTGAACATTTGCAAATTCAAGTTAACAATCATTCTGTTAAATAATGATAATTATTGATTAATATGTACTTAATTTATCTCCACTGCACCCTCAAATTACCATTATTTTGAGGGCCTTTATTTCAAATTAGGATTTTTTAGAATTAAATCCTATAATTTTTTACATTGGTCCCATTTTTAAAAAATATTTGAAGTTGATCCTATTTTTAAACTGGTCTGTTAATCATTTGACAGTCAACTAAACAATTTTTTAAAAATTCAAAATTGTCCCTATATTGTTTCCTACCAAACTACCCTATTGTGAATCAAAACCCTAGGAGTGCAAACCAAATAAATGACTAAAAAAGTTCATTTCAAAGAAAAACTTAATTGAACTAATTGTATGTAACGTGGTATCACCAACTGATTAGATACTAACATGTAATGATATGACTTACTAAAATATTTTTTTATTTATGTCATATGATATAAATTATTAATAATACAAATAACTAAGTATTAAAAATGCAGAGAAATTTTTCATAACTATACAATGCCTTCAAGAACTTTAACTCATAACTCACATGTGACCCTCCCCTCCACAATAGACTTGCAGTCCATCTCCACCACCACCTCTCGATAGCCATGTCGGAGAAGAAACTTAAGACTTTCCTAAACAGCTAGGGCTTCTGCAACTTCTGCATTTAAAAGAGAGGGGAAGAAGAAAGACTACACACATATGGGATTGCCGTCATGATTTCTAAGGATTAAACCACCTTCTGCTTCCTTAGAGGAGAAATTAAAGGCAGCATCGCAATTTAATTTCAGACAATTTAATGCCGGAAGGAACCATCTGGACGGGGAGGGAAGAGAACGCTCAGAAAAAGACATGAGAGGGTTCTCCATTTCTGAAATTTTCTTGAACTCTGAAAAGTTTGCCAAAGCTCTGCTCACTATAGCATTGGGCTCCCATTTAGACTTGTTAAACACCCAATCGTTTCTACTTTTCCATATTTGCAAGCCATGAAAGAGCATAAACTCAGAGCATAAACTGATTTTACGTTTAGTCTTTAAATTCCAAAAGCTATGCCATTTCCCATTGAATTACCCCTTTATATATATATATATATATATATATATATATATATAGAACCCTCACAAAGGCAACACATATTCTAAAATTAAAAAAAAAAAAGTTTCTTCTTTTTGCATTTTATTGTTGGTCCCAAGAGAATACAATTCATATTTGCAAAATTGATGCAATTATATTGATGTACTACTTGGATTGGTTCTGTGCATGGGTTCTATTACATTATTATTATTATTATTATTATTATTATTATTATTATTATAATATTAGAGTAACTCATTAAATTAGTGAAACCTCTGATTTGATTAACTTTCCTCGGACACTTATTTTGTTAATTGACTATTAAAAAAGTTAAAAGTTAACTAATTTTTAAAAATATAATGTCAAAATTTTGAGTAATGAAGATGAGATGTATGAGTTCATAAATGAGTTCCAGACCAAGTAGGCCATAGATGTCGTGGACTTTGACTTTTTCTGTTTCATTTTTTTTTATTGAATTTGATGTTTAATTGAGGCATGTATTAAACAAATTGTGAAATTATATTAACATATATTAGTGTTTCCAATCAATTCAATTCATAAATTGAAGGAAGGCAAAGAAAAAAAAGAAAGAAAGAATAATAAATAAATAGAGAAAAAAATGACACCATATTATGAATATTATATAAAATATATTAAGTAATCGTCGATTTATATTGTTGGCTTAATAAGCTAAATTATGTATCATGACTCAAAATTAATTTCATAATAATTTCATTGAATTGATTTAAAGAATAAATTAGGAACGAAATCAGGTTGGGAATACTAGATGTTGTTTTCCGAATTTTCTGTAAAATACCCAATCATTAGTGTATTACATATTCATACACATATGATACCTGCACTTCTTTGATTCATGGTTTATGGCTAAATTAAAATGATATATCTAAGTTAATTTAGGTTGACATTTGTGTCCAAATTAAAATGATTTAAATTGGGGATAGTTTTGTCCTTATATTTTTTAAATTAGTTGTCTTTTCACTTTCCTAACAATTAACTAACGGAAAAGTTAACCAAACCTGAAAGAGGTTTAGATTTTTTTTTTTTTTTTTCACTGATCCATGAGCAATAAAGGTAAATGTGAGAGGTGTCGGAGCATTTAACCCTAAAGAAAATGATAAAAGTATTGCATTTATTTTATTTTATTTTATTTTTTTAAAGGAATAAATATTTTGAAATAATTTAAAAATAAAAAATGGGCTATTAATACAGAACAGAGGAGTACATTATGTAGAATTGTAAATATAAATATTTTTTTGCACGATTTGTAATCTAAAATAGTGCCAAAATTACACAATTATAATTTGTCGGTTACAGCTGGACTAGGAATTTAAATTTGTCCTAACTTAATTAAGTGCTCTCTACCTGCTTGAGTAACACCCACTATCGTACACCTACTAAGTGCAGTTCTTTAATTTGAAAAAGATATAATTGCAATTCATATTACTCTTACTACATATTTATTTTTAAATGATCGGCTATTATATACATAGTAATGATAAATTTAATTGCAATATTATAAATCTTATAGGTAAAGTATGGCAATATTAGATATGAGTATAAACGTAAAGAATGGAAACAAAAGTGTTAATTTTTCAATTTCTTTAATAATTTAAAATTGAAAAGAAATGAAACAAAAGTGTTAATTTTTCAATTTCTTTAAAAATTTAAAATTGAAAAGAAATGAAATGATAATGATAGAATATATAAGAAAACTAATATTAAAGTCAATATAGAATTAAATTCACAATAAGCTCTTAAGGTAGGGGTGAGTGGTGACACGGAATTCTCTCCTACACAGATAGGGTCCAGTGTGTTGTAAAAACAACGTAATACTTTATATCAAAATACATTAATCTTTGACACAACGCATATAATACACTTAGAATGAAAAAAACAAAACATGTAATAATTTTCGATATATGATAATATTTCATATTGCATTTATTTGTATAAAATTAACATATAAAAAATTATTACACGTTCCGAACTACATTATCCCAGAACTATCCTAGTTTGTGGAGTGGTTACATTGTTGTGCTGGTTCATATGCCCTCGCCATTATAGGTTTTGGTCGGGTTGGGCTATTAAGTTCAAGACAACAAACTTTTTTATGTTAGCACTTCATATGGGAGACCAGTCTGAACTCAATCCAGCCCCCCACCCCACAAAAAAAAAAAAATAAATAAATAAATCCCTCTGACCCCACTCTTTTCAGGGTTACAATAATTGGTAGGAAAAGATAATAATTTGAATGGGTGAGGTAACTTGGTGTTTCCAATAGCACATTATTGCTTCAAGTAACATCACATTTTTGGTAGTTGGTGATTTACACACAATAAAAATATATATCTTCTCGCTATTACACCCCAATAATGCATCTTTATTACTTTCACATCCAAATACCCAATCAAGCGCTACATCACAGAGGGCTACTTCCTCCCACATTTATTGATCCTTTGTAATTGTCTATCTTTAATTTTAAGAGTTTTTTTTTAAAAAAAATTAAAAGATAATAATAAAAAAATATGAGAAAAAGGAAAGATAAATTATTATTTTGCTTTCACTTCTTAAATTTGACAATTAATTTTGTACATCTTAAAGAAGAAAAATAATTAAAAAAAGCAGAATTTTTTTTTAAAAAAATGACAATATTACTTCTACACGTGAGAATAAATAACCTTGTCATTGTATTACCCTCAATGAATCAAATACTTTTGTGATTAAAACTTTCCAATACAATAAATTTCAAATTGGATAGTAACTATTTCCATGTGGACCGATTTAATTTGTTATACTTACCGAACAAGACAAAAAGAAAAAAAAAAACAATTGAGTTTGTTATCTCAACTAAATTGGATACATGCTACTAATTAAGTTAATCTTCTTTACTTGTTTTCATTACGAGTCCTTTAGAGTAGGTTCGAAGGTGGTTTCTCATTTAATGCCTTCAAATCTTTTGTTTTCCTTCCAACGAACCTGACGTGATCACTCCTATTTCCGGCTCTCTTTTTACTCTCCATCGCCTTCTTTCTCCGGCTCTCTTTTTCTTCTCTCTCTCTATATATCAATATATATATATATATATATATATATATATACAAAAAAAAAAAACAAAAATACAAAAACCACGCCCCTCTCTCGGATATAAAACCAACGTTACGCTCATATTATTTAACTATCTCTCAGTTTCTCTCTCTCTCTTTCTCTCTCTCTACAATGGGGCAAAAAAGCTTTTTGCTTCTTCACATTTTGTTCGCTCTCACTTTGTCTCTATACACCCACTCTGTTCTCAGTCGCACCTTAACGTCTCACAGCACCGCAGTTCTGGATGTCTCAGCCTCCATTCAACGAACCAGAGATGTATTCTCGTTGGCTCCCCAATCTCTAAATTCAACTCTGTTTCAACCAGAAGCAACCACTTCTTCTTCATTTTCTCTCTCACTACACCCTCGATCCTCTATTCACAAATCCAAAGACAAGGACTACAGGCTATTGACTCTATCTCGACTGGAACGTGACTCAGCGCGAGTCAAATCGCTCACCACGAAACTCGAACTCGCCATCAATGCCGTCCACCAGTCGGACCTCAATCCGGTGGAGACGTCGGTGGAACTTGAGGAGTTCGAGACACCGTTGACCTCCGGGGCGAGTCAGGGGAGCGGCGAGTACTTCTCGCGAGTTGGAGTCGGCCGGCCGGTGAAGCCCTACTACATGGTCATCGACACCGGCAGTGACATCAGCTGGCTCCAATGCCAGCCCTGTTCGGATTGTTACCAACAGTCCGACCCGGTGTTCGACCCGTCCGCTTCCTCCTCCTACAGTCCTCTTTCCTGCAATTCGAAACAATGCTCGTCTCTCGAAGTTTCGGCCTGCAGTAGTGGTAAGTGTATGTACCAGGTCGCGTACGGCGACGGATCGTACACCGTCGGCGACTTCGCCACCGAGACGGTGTCGTTTGGCAACTCCGGATCTGTGAATAACGTCGCGCTTGGGTGTGGACACGAGAACGAAGGGTTGTTCATCGGCGCGGCTGGGCTGCTAGGGCTCGGCGGCGGCTCGCTCTCGCTTCCTTCTCAGATCAAAGCGTCGTCGTTCTCGTACTGCCTCGTCGACCGCGATTCCCCATCCTCGTCAACTCTGGACTTCAACTCGGCTTCTTCCGGTGGCTCTGTCACAGCTCCGTTGCTCCGGAACTCCAGAATCGATACCTTCCTCTACGTCGGACTAACCGGACTAGGCGTCGGCGGACAGATGCTCTCGATCCCGCCGTCAGTATTCGCAGTCGACGAGAGCGGGAGGGGAGGAATCATCGTGGACTCGGGGACCGCCGTGACTCGGTTACAGACTCAGGCCTACGACTCGCTCCGCGACGCGTTCGTGAAGATGACTCAGAACTTGCCGTCGACGAGTGGGTTTGCTCTGTTCGACACGTGTTATGACCTGTCGTCGATGACGAGGGTGAGCGTGCCAACGGTGTCGTTCCACTTCGCGGGAGGGAAAACGCTGTCGTTGCACCCGAAGAACTACCTGATACCGGTTGACAACGCCGGGAAGTTCTGCTTCGCGTTCGCTCCGACGCAGGGGTCACTGTCGATCATCGGTAACATACAGCAGCAAGGCACACGTGTCAGTTACGATCTCGCCCATTCACTAGTTGGGTTCAGTCCTGACACTTGTTGAGAAAAGCAAAGGACTCCATAAATAGGATCGGTGTAACTCATAATTTCCTTTTTACCTTGACCATAAAAAGAAGTGAGAAGGAAATATATATCATCAACATATATATATATATATATATATTTACAGTATATCTATATGTTACTCCGTAGTACTTAGTAGTAGTGTAATTAAGAACGGGGCCGCCAAGTTGACAAGTTTGTGGGTGGATGAAAGTGGGACCCAGCTAAATAAGTAGGGAGGGGCTTGGCAGCTGGGATGGGGGCTGTGAGCCTGTGAAGCCTGTGTTTATACATACATCATGATTGTGAAAAGTATATGCAATGTTGGTGGCATGTAATGCAAATCAATTGAAGATTAGGGGCAATGTGGTGACTGAGTGAGTTGTGCGAGCGTTATGTTATGTTATGTTTCTTACGTTGGTCAAAAGACTGCATGCATGTTGACATGAGTCTGGTCAATTTGAATTGGACGTGTCGTAATATAGAATCTGTGATTTGTTGACAGCGAATCTTGAACACCATACACGAGGACTATCCGAGTCCCGATTATGCAACACTATTATTGTTTAATGGTTTTAAGATTATGAAGTTAACATTTGGGAAATTTTTAAAAAAAACTAGTTTAGACCCTTTCATTACTAATATGACATATACGAACAAATAATTATAAGGGTTATTAAACAAAACTAATTATAAATATGATTAAAATAATAAAATTCATACTATTTTCAAAATTTGATCTTAAAAACTTAACTTATTTTTAAAAAAAACTCCTATATTATTAAAAAATAATTACAGTACCTATCTGACTCGTTAACTGAGTTATGAAATGATAAATTTAACTTTATAATTTAAAGTTCAATTAAAAATTAAAAATTATTTTTAAAATTATAAAAATACACTTTAAAATTACAAAAATTAAGTTTGAGAGAGAAAGAAATGAGTTTTAGGGAGAGGAGGTGAAGAAGTAGATTGAAGGGTATTTTTGTAATTTTAAAAAATATTTTTTAATTTTTAATTTAACATTAAATAGTAAAGTTAAATTTGTTATTTCATAACCCAATTAACGGGTTTGATACCAATATTGGAATAATGTGATTACTTTTAAAAAATGTAAGGGGTTTTTGAAACTGGTTGGGATTTTATGATTTTAACCCTTATAAATACGATAAATTGTACAATATTTATATATTTAGGACCAAATTACCCGTCTTTTAAAAACATTTCCAATTAATTTTTTTCCTTCTAATTATCTTCATCTCTCTTATCCTACACACCACCTACCTACCCACCACCACCACCACCGAATACCAACCACCATTACCACCCACCGCCAAACCCTTCTGCTACGACCAAGCATTCTGCCGTGGTGGTTGTGGTGTGGTGGAGCAGGTGGGTTTCAACCAAAAATAAAAATAGAAGAAAAAAAATAGGGGAATAAGAAATGTGTTTTTTTTTTTATAATTAAAACATACTAGGTATAAGGTTATTAGTGTCTTTTCATACCATGCAAGGGTAACTTTGTTATTTTATGAAATGTCGTTAACGACTGTGACAAAAAGAAAACTGTAGGGGTGTGATTATATGCACAAAACTTCAGAAAAGGTCATTGTAATAAATCTTAAATGCTCCATCTGCATTAAATTTGTCCAAATATTAAGAGAAGTAAGTATAATTTACCCTTTATTTTATTAGATATTTTACACATTTTTTTGTTTTTCCCAAAATAAGGGGAAAGAAACCCTAGAGCATACTAGTACCTCTCGCTCATGAATTATTGTGGCACCTTTACTTTATAAAAAGAAGTCGATCCCATTGAAAGATTAGACAAGAGGTCCCATAAATTCTTTCGTGGGACCGACGTGGCATTATCATGGTTGTATTTTGGTGTTAATGAAATGATAGAACCAAATTTGGTCACGTCCATTGTTCCTAAGTTGGTCTATTGTGACCTCTACAGTTACAGCAATTTAAAATACGGTAAAAAACAGTGCTGTGATCTGACCCTTTTGAGCTGCCTTCTCTTCCGGACCCTTTTAATGTGATTTATGCGGGTTACAGTTGTGTCTGCATCATATACATACATACACACATACATATATACATATTGTGTTGTAAGATTTGTGAATCAATTAATGGGTGGCCCTTGAGCGATTCATTTCAAGAAAAATTAAATTTTGTATTAGGAGATCTGTCAGTCTCACATGCATGCTGGTGAATTTGATCCAAGTTAGTTCGACGCATAAATCTTGAAACAGAGTGTACCACATATATAGCATATTAGGTGAACTATAAAACTATTCGTGAAAGTAGACGTAAGTCATAAAGGATGTGTTAAATCTCTAGGACCATATGACTTGCTTGCTATGCCCTTTTCTTTTCATTTCTTTTATTTAATTTTATTATTATTGACAAAAAAATTACTCACATTTGAATCTTTAACTTTCTACTTCGTATATATATGTGTGCGCGCTCACACTTGAATAAGCGAGAATATATATATATATACTACCGTACTTTTATAATGCTTTGATTTTGTTACTGATGCATACTTGCCTGCAAAATAGCAGGCAAAGACAAAATCAGCATCCTCAAATTTCTTTATCACCTCAGCATTTTATCATTGCTATATTATTATTAGATCTCGAAAGATATAAAAGTTGCTCTATAATTTGATCTCTCAAGAGTTCAAGAAAACAACAGCTAAACAAAGATAATTGAAACGGACAAGATGTCATGTATTTGTAGGATGATTTATACTCTGAAAAAGTATGGCCCCCGTTGGGTTGGGGGTCACTGTCTAAAACAAAAATATCTAAAACTCTTGTGAATCTGTATACTTCACAAAGATTATAACCTCCGCTGTTTAAGATTCCCACCCAAAAAGACAACCATCGTGTGTAACTTTTAAGGATGAGTCTATATAATTACAAACGGAGTTGAAAGCGACAAACAAAAATTTGGGACAAGATTTTCGTTAAAAATCTTGCTATGTAGCGGCTGCTATCACCAAAACAAACATGTGAAAGATGTCGGAAGGTATGAACGCGTTGAAATTAAAAGAGACAGTGCAAAAGAAAATATTATCATTCAATAAAATCCAAAACCAAGTTAGGTCGGTAAGGGTAGACCTTGCACAGCCTTGTGAAGCCTTAGGAGACGCACACAACATTAATTTTTCTAGCACAAACTATAGTCCACTCACTAGCAGGTTTGTCCAAGAGAAATAATGTCAGAAAATAGTATAGAATGTATATAAAATTAATTCGGAATTCTCACCAATTCCAAAGAATTAAAAAAAAAAAAAAAAAAAAAAAAAGTGGGGGCTTCAAACTATTCTCTAGTGTATTCTTGTGGTTTTGCTCCATCCTGGAAACTGCAAATCCGCAGGGATTCAGCATAAAGTGGAATCTCCTTCAACAAATTCCCTTCTCCTTGTGTAATGACCAAAAATAATATAATTCGAGAATTTATTTAATGGAGTTGTTCCAGAGATTTGGCACTGTTAACAAATGTTGCGCTCTTATTCAAACCTTCCTGCAAAAGAATCCGCACTGCTTCCACGCCATTTTGAATTGTGAAATCCAACTGAAACGACAAGTGTTAGTTAATATCTTGTTTGACTGTTCATCGTAACGGTAATGCATGTGCAAGGCCCACATACCTCTTGGCGTTCTTGTCTATTGAATGAGCGAAGAACATAGTTGATAGGATCCATTTTCCCAGGGGGCCTCCCAATGCCTAGAGAAATTTAACAAATACTATAAACCAAAAGAAAAAATTAGGGCAACGAATTTAGTAATTTTAGTATCACCAGGAACTTACCGATTCTTAAACGAGGAAAATCACGGCTCCCTTTGAAATGGTCAATAACACTTCTCATCCTGAAAGGAAAAGCAAGAATGATCAATCCTATAAATTTTAAAGATGCCTGCATGCTTTATGAAGTAAGCAAAATGAGTTATATTTACTGCAATAAAAATGTTCTAGAACCACCACCACCAAGCATTTTTCCAATTACTTGGGCTTGGCTACATGAATCTCATGTTTCCATTTTCGCTCTATTTAAGGCCATAACCTCAGTCAATCCACATGCTATCATATATTTCTTTACTAACTCAACCCACGTTAACTTTGGTCTCTCTCTTTCCCTAGTATTCAATGTGGACTAATTTCAAATCCAATTCTGATAGTTTAAGAAATTATGCCTTCTACCAGTAACTCCAAAAGATTTATTCTATAAAAGCTCACATATTAACAATCATACATAGCTATTAGCATTACAGTGGCAAATAAACTCCAAATTAAATTAAAAGCCCTGGACATTAGAAAAAACATGATTCCCAAAGCAGATGACTTGAGATCATCTCAATGCTGGGAAAAATTTACATAGTTACTGCATTAGATCAGCATGTGGCATCAGCACAAAAATTTACATGCTGATTTCCGAAGTACTGGCTAACCAAGATAACAGACTTTCTCCTCATGCAGCTTCAATCTTCCACAGAGAAACAATCATATAATTGGTTACAGTTGACTGGAACAATCGCATTATTGTGGGTTTAAAGAAAGAAGAAAACTGCTATTTCTGTCTGTGACAAGACAACTACAAACCCTAAATGATTAACAAAGCTTTCCATTAGGAGCTGAGCTATGCACAGTTGTTATTGTGCAAGCTCAGCTCTTGGACCATGCAGGTCCCACACAATCCAAGGGCGGAGCTAGTGCAGTCACGACAGTTGCGACTGCACTCAACATTCTCCTTCATTGGAACATAATTTCCGTAGATCATTTTGCAACTCGTAGTGCTCTATAGGGTCCTCACTCAGCTAAAAATCTCAGATTTAGCACAAAATAGAGCCAAAATAAATTATTATTGAAAAACAACATTCACGAATGTATTTAAATCTGTATCTTCGGAAAGATGTTACTCTACAAATGTGACTGATGTGGCCATACTAAAGGAGGAAGATGAATACACCAAAATGGAATATACCCGTTGTGACCTCCATGTCCACCCTTTGGCAATAACCGCAATTTAGCAAAAGGCAAATCTAAGTCATCAAAGATCTGTAGAAACTAAAGCTATTAGTATAGAGTTGGAGAGGAAAGTAACAATAAAATCTACATGAGAGAATGTTAAATGCTATACCACAAGTACTTGCTTCAACGGAATCTTGTAGTATTTAACAATGGCTCCAACCTTCAATAATAGGTCCAGAAGTCAACCAATCATCAAAGAAACAATATGTGGGATTGTACATATTGAAGTTTTTACAGATGAGCTTACTTACAGACTCACCGCTTGCATTCATGAAAGTTTGTGGTTTGGCGAGCATAACTGGAACATTTCCAATAAAACCTAGGAAATAGAAACTTGTTGTATCAACAACCAGAAATGCACAACTACATATAGAAAGTCAATGGATTAGGATATGTTTATGTGCCTACATCGTTTAATTCAAGTTCCTTTCAGTAGCTTCTAAAATAATAAAAAGGGTTTGCTATTCACAACTTTAAAATCCTTGGGAGGAATAGATTTATGAAGTGAGGAGGGATGTGTGCATGAAGTGATGTGCATGGTGTTTTGACCTGATTTGCATTAAGAAATAAGCAATTTGATTTATTTAAGATTAATCTAATGTAAACCTTCTATAATGATCAAGTTGAAATAAAGTTACTTAACATATTGAGTCCTATGAACTTTCCGCATGGATTCGATCCTAAATTAAATGAGCAAAACAGGGAAATCAGAACCAAAGTATCTGTCCAAAACCAGTGTGGAGTGAATGAATACAAAGGAAATGCAAACTGATGATGGAGCAAAAAAATAACATTTCCAACAAAAAGTTAGCACCAAACTACCAGAAGGTGACCAGACATGGGTTAGAATTCTCTCTCACACCTCCTTGACCTTGCTTATGTTAATTATAAACCCTGCGGCTTAGGGCTTATCAACCAGCGATGTCCGCAATCGAATCCTAGAGATGAAGAGCAACCATGGAGCAACTTAATCCCACTATCAAGCCATGATGTCTAAAACTTTTTCGCGTCAATGATTGGAGTTTGACACACTTATCAGCATGAGACAAGCATCCTCGTGTATGACACAAGATCCATGCCCAGATCTTGGAAAATGCTATATATGTAATCCCACGATTTTGTTGTAAGACAATAATTGATATCTGATCCCGAGGATCTGTGGCATTAGGTTGTCAAAAAATCTGGTCTTCATTTATTGCTCACACAAGGATAATAACCCAGAAATCTGAGAAGTCGTCCCTCACACAACCTACCTCCTTTTATTTATTTATTTAAAGAAGAGAGAATATAACCTAAAGTTACCACAGTTAAGATAAGCAACTCATATGCACCACCGAGGCTGTAACCTAGTGGTATCTCCTTTACCTCCCAAAGTGGAAGATGTCAAGTCTCCCTAGGAACAAAGTGGATGGATCATGGGTAGGAAAGAGAAAAGAAGATAATAACTCATATAGATAATTAGATTCAGAACCCCATAGAAAATTAAATAAAAACCTAACAGTTTCACTTCATGCACCCTGCAATTATCAGAATAAAATTTTGCTTTAACATATTTGAGATTTAGTATCTAAAATGCACAGCTTTTCAAGCGTGAGAACAAACTAAGCGCTGCCCAGGAGATTCTAAACTTCATTTCCATTTTATTAGGTTGCCATCAGAACAAAAGTGGACGTCAGAAACATGAACAACTACCAGAATGCGAGAACTGGTTATAAGAATGTTCAACGCGCATATATGGAAAACCTACACAAGCACACATTATAACACCTGACATCCTAAAAGCATAATTTTGAATTTAAGCAAAATTTCAACTTGTGATGTTACTAAACTGCTCAATGAACACAGTCATGCATTTCAAGCAATTTATTGGGTAACTGTTAGACAAACAAATACGTACATATAAATGATTAAAAATTGCTGGAGAATCTGCAACAGAATACTTGCACTTCAAAAGATAACTCAAAATTAAATTGAGATACACAATCCAAAAAGAACGTTAATACAACATAGCAAAACCGAATTGGGGTTTTCCAATGCATTTACAACCTCAGTAACTCTAAAACCTGTTCGCCAAATTTAAACAAAAAATTGGCCAAAAGAAACCCAAGACAAGCAGCCCAAAGTACGCAAGGTTACAATCCAGGCAAACTTAACTAACGTCTTGCACATGTCCAAACTATGTTAACCATTTTTCTCTCATTTTTGTCACCAATTTGTGCTACTCCAACCATCCCCTAAATGTGATCATTTCTAATTCTATCCTTTCTAGTCTTTCCACACATCCATCCCAACAGTTGCAATTCTGCCAAATTCATGTTATGCATATGTTGTTTCCTAAATGCCCAACACTCTGTGCCATTAAGTATTACTGGTCTAATAGCTAATCAATAAAACTCTCCTTTCAATATTAAGGGGATACGCCTGCCACACAATTTACTAGATGCACTTCTCCATTTAACCTATTTTGCCTTGATTCTATGATTAACATCATCTCCAATTTCTCCTTCATTAGGAATAATTGAGCCTGGATAATGAAAAATGTTCACTTTTTTGTAACTCTTGATTCTCAATCCTCACTACATCCTCATTTGCATTTCTAAATTTACTAAACTTACACTCCATGTATTCAGTTTTATTTTTACTTATCTTAAATTCTTTTAATTCTAAAGCTTCTCTCCAAACCTCCAATATGGCATTAACTCCTTCTCTAGTCTCGTCGACTTAAACAATTTCATCAGCAAATAACATACACAAAAAAGAATTCTTGCTTCCCATAATTCATTTTTATAAATTCTGTATAGATAAACCAAAATATAGAAACTTCTATCATGTTACAACTTTTTCTGGTCCAGCTGTAGATAAAAAGCCAAGCTTTGCCTTAACTCTAATAATCTCTATTCAGTAGAACACAGGGACAACTCATGGTTTATTCTTGTGCAAATTTTTTTCCTCTGACTAATGTATATACCAATAAATATATTATTGAGTCAGAACAGTTATATGAAAGTGAACCTTTTCCAAACAGGGCTTTAAAGGAAACACTGCTCATGGATATCCCTTCAGCTTCAGCGATGGCGTCTACCATCTCAAAACCTACCTGAAAAAAAAATGCATTTTCCATCATTAGAAAAGGTGGGAGTAGTCTTCTCTTTCCGTATTCAATCAATATAAACTCCTCCGCTTGGATTCTAATAAAAAAACGATATCAACACCAATATATTCTAAATCCTGAGATGGTAATTCCTAGACATTCTCCTCCATCTAACTATTTGCTCTGTTCTAAATCACCTAAATCACTAAGAAAAAGAGACAAAAAGATGGTAATAAATATAAACAAATAAGCTTCAAACTAATGCTTTTGCAAAACCAAATTAATCTAAACACTGCTCATTGATATCTTTGGCATGCTGTGTTATTGTGTTAACATCACTTTGAGCCTGTAGTAGTAGTACATTCTCACAAAGTTCAATCAATCACCAGTGCGTGTATGTCATATAAAAGAGTAAATTTTCCAAAACAAAACCTTAGATTTATCAAGCACCCTTACACTCTCTTCTATTGATAACCCAACATTAAAAACCTAGGTAGATGCACATATTATCCTAGATAAAGAGTCCTTTGAACTTCTTACAGAAAACGTGAAAAAGAAAGATCTGTTTGATTGATTAACTCCTATGTATGTTTATAAGAACTACTAAAATAAAAAAGCATGTAAAGCATTATACATATACAGACACATACAACATATGTATATAAATATGGAGAGAGAGGGGTGTACAGACATTGTGGCGGGTGCCTCGGTACATCTTTCCGGGGTTTCCAAGTCCGACAACAAGCCATGGCTTTGGTTTGGGTTGCAGCGGCTCCACCTCCACCGCGGGCGGCGAGGCAGTGGGGGTAGTTGGAGAAGCGGAAGAAGAGAATTGAGGCATCGTGTTGCCCGTCCTCCAAAACGAAGAAATTAGGGTTTTGGAGGAGGAAAAGCAGACGCGGCAAAAGGGGGAACCAACCGCGACAGCTGAGGATGATGAAGCAGAAATCGCACCACTCACCACATTCATATTTATTTCTAATTTTACTCTTTCCAGGTTAGAAACGAAGAACAATTGCCCAAAAAGTATAGCATGTCTGATGATATTATATATATATATATATATATAAACCCCGAAAGTGATATAAAAAGAAAACCGAAAAATTCAGAGGGGAAAAAAAAAAAAAGTGAAGGAAAAATAAAACGCCGTTGCCGGGGATCGAACCCGGGTCACCCGCGTGACAGGCGGGAATACTTACCACTATACTACAACGACCTTGTTGACACGGGTTCAGAGTTAAAGTTTTATTAAAGTTTATTTTCTTAATTATTTTTTTATCCAATTATAATTCTTTTTATCATTTAGTTAGGTTGTGTATTTTTGTTGGTAGGTAAAATAACTTTAATTAATAAAAAAAATGATGCATAAGTAGGAACAAGCTCACAAATTAAAATTAAAATTAAAATATTTATCCAACTCACTTAGAACCACTTACAATCTAAACGAATTGCTCAAAATAAAACAACTGTGGACTAAGTACACTCCTTTTTTCGTTCGGAGGGAATAGGGATCCCCCTCCTAGCAATCTACCATTATTTGTGATTTTCTGGAGATGCTTGTAAGTTTTTGGATTTCATTCTTTTAGAAGCTTCACCCATTACTTGAAATGAAATTTTCTTCTCTCTTTAATTTCTTCTCATCATATTAATAACTAATGTTGTCTATTTTAGTTTTTCTTATAAGTTATAACCATCTAATCTTGTCTATTTTAGTTTTTCTTATAAGTTATAACCATCTAATCTTGTCTATTTTAGTTTTTCGTATAAGTTATAACCATCTAATCTGGTCTATTTTATTTTTTCTTATGAGTTATAACCATCTTCACCTTCTTTTCAATCAGTGATATGCCTAACATTGTTCTTTGTTGTTTTTTCAATAACACATAAAAATACTCACAATCACCTTGACAGACCTTCACTTTAGCTACCAAGCAAAGATCATTATAATTAAAAAAAAAATACTTCCTTTTTTTCTTTTCTTTTCTTTTTTTTTGTTTTTTTAAACTAAATGGACGAATTTTCATTAAGAGAGAAAATACAAAGTTACGGGTTGGCATTAACTACAGTATCAAATCTAATTCACATATAGTATCAATCTGATTCAAATGTGGCATTAACTTTTAGGTAGTTGGGCTATGATTTTGCATCTCAAGAATCAAGTCTCATTGTTGCACTAAATCACTACCCAATGTCCTTTTTGTATTTAAATATGGCAAATGATATTCGTACTTCCCTATTTGAGAAATGCATTTATCACAAAAGGAGTATGAATATGCATCCCTCTATATATTTAAATTTTTTTTTTTTCCTCCTCTATATATTTAACTAACTAACAAGTGACCTGCTTGAGAGACGGACCATCTAATAAAAAAGCAGCAAAAAGAAATAATTTGATCAAACACACCACTCACAAATGCCCAAGTGTTGGCCTCTCAGACTTGATAAAACTATTTCATGTAGTCAGTAAACTCCAATCCAATAAACTATTGATGAACCAAGGAAAATGTCTCTCTTTGCACTACAAGCTTTGCAAGAAAGTCAATAAGAAAATGATATCGTTTTTGTTATATATACATTGTATAGAAACTTTTGTGAATAGTTCCAAGCTTTCCATCTCTGATTAGCAGAGGAAAAACAAAGTTACCATGAAGATTATAGTGCATGTGGGAGATTTAGGATTTTATCTCCAGTTAGGGATTCGTCGGGTCCATTGCTGCAGAAGAAACACAAGTAGCCTGAGTTCATGAACACCGACCAGTAGAATTGGCAAAAGAAAAAAGCATTTAGCAGATGCTTACCTGAGATAACTCAGAGATGACATCTTGTAAAGACAGGTGAACACCAGAATATGCAACCCAATTGTGTAGAAGAATGCAAAAGTTCGAGCATATCTGCAAGAGATTAATTTGTTATTTCCTTTATCACATTCTCACAAAACAAAATAAAACAAAATAGATTTTAGACTAAGGTCTTGTTTGGATGTCCCCTTTAAATTTGAATAGGTCCACAGGCTCACTTTTTCAATAGTACTTTCAATGGAATCATTTGAGAAATGGTAGCAATCCCAAAAATGGTTTTTCAGAATATTGAATTATGTCATTTCAATTTTATTTTATAAAAACCATGTAAAAGAATACAATGCAGTTTCCTTTTCCCCTAAATGGCTCCATTCAAAATGATAAACTTCTACATAAAAATATTTATTATGTAAACTGTAAATTGGACTGTTCAAATTCAAGGGGCATATGAACAGGCCTTAAAGTTTACAGGACAACATTGAGAACGACATTCGGTTGAAATATTACACCAGTACAAAAGGGAGGGATTAATAGCTGATTTCAATTTCGAGTGCATGGAAATATAGGCCAAAAAATCCAGCCTCCATAATATAACATCATCATCATCCTTGACTTAATCCCATATGAATGCAGTCGGCCATCCATTATACAATATAGAAGGTTTGATTGTATGAAGAAAGAAATTTTATATATTCATTTCATTTTGGACTCGAAGGGTGGATCTTTGAACCAGACAGCTCTCTTATATAGAACCATGGATTACGGTTCTCTTGATACTTGCAATTTGTACAATTTTTCGGTACACAGATAGAGGGATAGACAACTAGTTATATTTGATAGTCAAGTCAAAATCACTGGTCATAGTGTACAATTACAACCTGTCCGAGGATATCAAGTCATTGAAATGTGCCAAACGTGAAGGTAAATAATGATGGAGAAGCTTTTAAACATCCTAACTGATTATGGACACATGCAGACGTGTGATGACAGGGTATCTTAACATGCTACTATTTGATTGGGAGAAGTGCCCTCTGTACATTACTGACACATCTATATTAAAAAGTGTAAAGTAAACAACTAAACTGAGCAGCACAAGAAACAAATGTTGCAGCTTTAGCTTTAATGAAATCAAGCAGCAGTGACATCGAACACAAGAGGCTAGTGTTGCAAATACACCAAGCTGCTCATGAACTCATCTATAATCCAAGTGAAAGAAGCAGCATGAGATTTGATCATTCAGCTTAGATACAAACGAACTGAACCAAGGAAATCTATGGTCTAACTAGCTCCAGAATGGCAAAGAGATGAAATATTAGTTGTACCAAACCACCCCCCACCCCCACCCCCCCTTCCTCCTCCTCCTCCTCCCCCTCCTCTTCTATTACTGTATTTCCTTTTTTCCCTTGTGTTTCGGGTGGGGGGCTGAGGCAACATTATCTAATTGCACGTTCACCACAAATCAGTAAGAAATGTTGTTTACACTAGTAGATTTTCATGGGCACTATATTACATTGAGAAGGCAAGTCACTCCACTTCTCCCTGAAACCACAAGTGTGGCCCAAAAGAAATGCAAACATGGAACCATTTAAAATGGAAGAGTTTTGCTAACAGTTCAAATAAAGTGACAAACTGAAGCCATCAATTCAATCGGTATTCTTTAACCAAAAAAAAAAAATTCAATCGGTATTGGTATCTAAAACTTTCTCAAAAAAAGCAGTAGTGAGAAACTTGATGCATGTTGATTACTGTGAAGCGTAAAAACTGGAATGAGGTGGAGTTGAGCAAAGGTAAAAATCAAAGGATAAGAAAGTTTAAAATTTCAAAGTGCAGCAATGGATGCAAATTCCAATCATATCTTGCAAATTCACATTAACCGAACAAGCAAAGCTTACTTGTTGCCAAGAAGAAAGCGTCCACTGCTGAGTGTAATTTTATCCCTCAAACCTAAATCCTTGTACCTTTGATCCCTTTCCTAATCACAAGTAAAAAAGTATGGTAAGTACACAACTAAAACAACTAGAAAAATTTTAAAAAGAAAGGAGAAGAAAAAAAAGAAAATGGAAATGTAAGAACACAGATATGGAAGGCATGCAGTCTTCAAACATGCAAGGTACGTAGTTTTGTAAGAAATAGCAATCACGCAACAATGGTCTTTATGAGATTTAAACAATCATAGTAATTAAAAGATCCCATGAATTCTATGTTACATACAACCCAATAAGTTTGTATGCTGCAGGTATGCCTCCAATGACAGATTTGTCCAATCTCAAAATGTTAGGACTTGGAAAACAAGGCTGGATTTTCATGTCATTAACTTGGATTTCATGCAATCTTAAGACAAAATGAAAATTTCATGTTCATGTCATGTGATGGGCCCTCTTTTGCCTATCTCTGTCTCGATGAGCCGAGACAAAGCTTTATTTTCTTTTGAGTAAGTCCTGAATGAGCCCCTTGCATTTATAGAAATGTCTATAAAGTTAGTTACTTGAATTGGTAACACTCAACCTTGTGATAATTATGGGGAAGTTATAGAAACACGGGGGGGGGGGGGGGGGGGGGGGGGGGGAGGCGGCGGGGTGGGCTATTATTTTTTCCATCCCATTTGATAGATGATACCTGGTTCGCAGGGGGGGGGGGGGGGGGTTGGGCTATTATTTTTTCCATCCCATTTGATAGATGATACCTGGTTCGCAGCATTCTTAGTTGGTGCAATATGCACTATTTACCTTTGCCCTCTAAACTTGAAAAAAAAAAAAAAAACAGATATCTAAGAGAACTTCCCCTCTTCTTCTCTTCTTCTCTCTCACACACTCTCTTCTAAACACCACCAACACCCCCCCCCCCCCCCCCCCCCCCCCCCCCCAAAAAAAAAATAATCATTTTTACGGAGAAAAATAAGAAGTGAAAACTTTGTATATTGACTATACAAAGATCTTCACACAAATAGTAGGGCTACAAATGATCCGAGTTGTCCATGAACAGCTCAGGCTTGACTCGGCTCGAGCTCATTTTTCAAGATCCTTTAGTAAATGACCAACCTTGGACAAAAGTAGTGCTAGACTTGTTAGCAAGGGCTGATCCAGAAATTGTTAATGGGGCGGGCTAACATTTTTTTGGGTGGGCTAATACTAGTAATTTTTTTACTTTTGGGCTGGCCTAAAATTGCCTATATTAATTTTTTTTTTTTTTTTTGCTTGTTAGACTCATGACCAAGCTAGTTAACGCGAAGGCCCATTTACATTTAAAAGGTTTTAGCCCATATTATGCAAGTTTGGCCCAACTCACAAGATTTCATAAATAAGGTCAAAATAGTTCATAATTCATAAGCTCAATAGCCCATCAAAGATTCATTCTCAGCCATTGAATTTAAATCCTGAATCATTGGATTTACTAAAGTAAAGAGATAAGAATAAACCCTAGAAGACTACAGCTGCAGACCCCCTATAGCTCCACTGCATACCCTGCCGGCAGCCCACCACATACCCATGCCACACAACTCTCTCTCACTCTCTCCCCCTCTCCCTCTCACACACTCTCTCTCGCTCTCTCGTGTAAATAAATCATAAGGTCGAGTTACAATGGAAGATCTCGCTATAGCCGCTAAAAGCTCATGAGATTTGATTTCATTCTTGAAAACTTGTCATATATTTATTTGTTCTTTTCTTTCTTGTCCGAGATTGAGATTGGATTTCATAAATGAAACGACGGTGATTTCTTGCATCAGTGATTCGTTGGGTATCTATCCAACCACTAACTCATTGAAAACTCTATCGGGCCGAGCTTGAGCCAAGCTCACCCAAACAGTAGCTTAGTCCAAACACCTCTATAGAGTTGATGGGCCAAGCCCGAACAACCCAAAGCTCAGTTTGGCTCGGTTCATATTTGCAGACCCACAAAAGATCATCAATTGCCAAAAAATTACAGTGGACTAGGAAAGATGCACAAGCTTTTGTCACTTCTCTTCCGTTACAATATTAGCTTAATTCAACCATATTCACGTAAATTTCATAATGTTAACAAAATTTATGAAATAGAAGAGAAACGCAAAAAGAAAAGAAGGAAACCTTTTTTGAGAATGCAGCAAAAGGATTTATGTCATCCTCATATATCTTCTTATATTTGGATTCCACATCTGAACTGAAACCACTTTCTAGATCTTCTGCGTGCTGAGAATAAAATGGAGGAATTAGAGCCAGAAGAAATTAGAAGCAATGCAAAAATAATTTTAGGAGCTGCAATAGACACCTTCTTTGATCCTCTAGAAACTAATTTCTCAAGACTGTAATCTTGAACATAACGAATCTTCCCATAAAGATTGACATTATCAGCTTTTGTTTTATCCAGTTCTGCTGTAAGCAGGCCTATATTCTCCTTCAATTGCCTTATCTCCTGTAATAATAACGAATTTAGGAAAGTCAAACCAATGAACCCGTAATGTGACAAATAGAAATAAACTTAGTTGTACTGAATTCCACAAAAAAAAAGAAGAAAAGGTTAGAAGCAAAAAAATAAATTTGTATAGGCTATAGGACACCTCTTCTGCCTCTCGCAAGCGTGTCCTGAACCGATCTCTCTGGTTGCAGATCACCTTAAGCATTGAACTTTGATCTTGGTCTGAGGAAGTATGTTTTTGATCTGCATTCTGTTACACAAAAGTTTATTTAAAATATATATATATATATAAGGTATATATTCATAAAAATAAGTAAATTACTTCACCTGCATATAAATACAACCTCATTTGCAAAGAATCACTGAAATGTAAAATTATTATGTTTATCAATAACAATAATAATAATTAATAATAAAGCCCTCATTAACACTTGTGTTGTTGGTTTCAAGAACAAGCTCCAGCTACATTACTAATTGGAAGAAGAAATGACTGTTATGTGACTTGTGAAGAATTATGTTCACATTATGGTTCTATTAAAACATAACTCATAAATAACTATCTTATTTACGCTTTAAAGCTGATGATCGAGGACACATTATGCCAAACCATATTTGCCCTTGCATATTATTGTCCAATCAGTCTGGGGACTATGTGTGTCCATGTATCCCCTGGAAAACTAACCAACCACTAAAAGGCCTAATAACTAAGAAATAGAATTTCCTTCCTGAAAATATCATACGAAGAAACAATAGCAATTGCAACTGCATGGTTTGAACATGGTTCTCTCTTCCCTTTAATCTTGTCTTCAGTACTGGCCTTGTCATTAAAGCCACCTTTTCCTATCAGTTTATTCTACCTCTAGATGATTAAAATTGAAAATCTTACAAGTAGTCAAAAGGTCTCTACTCAGACCAATTTCAGCAAGAAGCCCAGAGAGAGGAGGAGGAGGGTGTGATATATAAGTGACATAGGCTGGACCGATCTCTAGTCAGTTGAATTGTCATCACGGTATGGCATTAAGAAAGTATATTTTGACGATCAATGAGCTTTAGAGCATGAATTCAAATTTCTACCAAGTTTCTGATAAATTTTCTGAGTTCTATACAGGGGATCAAAACACATCCTGCAGAATTAAAAGATATTTTATCTGCATGATCCTTGTTATCACTAAATCTATGCACATATACAACTTGTTCAGAATTTATATAGCTGAGTTTAAATAAGTTGTAAAAGGAAACTATAGAAGTGGAAACAAACTCTGTATGGATACAAGAAATTATTTATAAATTTACCTATTGTCAGTGAGCAATATCTATTTATACGAAGGTATATTGTTTAGCTTCTAATTCCAAGTAATTATACGCCATTTTAATCGTGCTATAAGCACATATCTATAACATTTATATTTGTTGCCAATCAAAACTCATTTACAAGATGCACCTTTGAACCCTAGGTATACTCAGTAAGCTCTTGTGATATTAGGCTGATCCTATTGACAGCGGTTCATATTTACTTGTCTAAGCTAAGGCTCATCATAGCCAAACTGAACCAATGATTCAAGGTAGCTCTTCCCATCAAAAAGTGGTTACGATCAAATCAAGGCATTAAAGGGCAGATGTAAGATAATAAATAGCATGAATAACAAGAACAAAGTACATCTACAAGATAATTTACTGCAGCATTATTGATTTGGCAATGCTTAATGCAAAGGAACAAGGAAAGGTAAGATATACCTCAGATGTATCTGTTGCCCCCGACTCCTGAAGATCCCAATCATCAAATAGATTTACTTTTCGATCTTTAGAACTGTAACCCTGCATAAACGTAAAGAGCTCAAAGCATAAAAAGAAGTAATTGATGACTAAATGTTAAGAAATTAATGCCCTCTAGTATCTTGAGTAGCAATTCATACAGAACATCATTATGCCATATCAAATGATGTCTTGACACAAATATGCAGGTTAACTATTCAAATATTCCAAATCAAGGAGTAAGTCATTAATGCAATGGTGATACTATGTCATTTTGCCAATCTAGTATCAGCAACCAATTATATATTTTCATGCAAGCACGCAGGGCATACTCAATACAAGTATGCAACTACCTGGCATTTAATGCAAACACATATATGCATGTGAGATGTGCTTGAGTGGTCTAATACATGCCAAGATTTAAGTAGTTGGTGTACCATGCCAGCAAAATGACATGGAAACACTGTTTATTGAAGTTTTTTCCCCAAATCAAGGCCAAAGTAATGAGAATAGCATGAAAAATTCTGCAGATCTGTTGCTAATAAATAAGTAATCACTTCTCAGAATTTCAGAAATCATTGAAACAAACCCTTTTTTTTCCCTAGTTCATTGAAACAAACCTTTAGTATATCATCTTCTAGCTTTTGTATTAATGTCTGTTGTTCGTTAACCTTTGCCGTAAGTTCTGCTATCTTGCCCTCTGCTGTTTCCAACAAAGAAGTTTTTTCAGAAATTCTGACCTGAAAGCGGTAGAAAAAGGCAATAATGACAACCACATCTAATTAGTAGACTGTTAAGAGTTTAAATATGATTTTAAATATACCCAAAATAAAAACAGATGGCTACATCAGCAGCAAATTAACTTTTTTCGTTACTGTGCCCCCAGATCTAGTTGAAAATCCAAGCATATTTGTAGTTGGAAATAAAAAAAAAATGGAAAAGGCAAAATAATAAAGGAGCTAAGTCAAAGATTTCACACCTTCAACTGTGTGAGCTCATGTTCCATTTTCCGGTTCTTATCAAGAAGTAGAGACTCCAGTCTGCTCATCTCCTCCCCACTAGTAGCCACTTCCCAATCTTCAGCCTCAATAGAATTATAACCCACTGCCTATGCATATAACAATGGAATGTTGAACAGGATCATCACCACGTGATTGTTGAGCGAAATAAATAGGCGAATTGCAAGCACAATGAATCCTTACTTCATGAAGATCTATGAACAAATTCCACTCCAAAGACCCTATACTATAATTTATCTTTTAGTGTGCGAGCACGTTGAGTTAGTTAGAATAAGGATTTCCAGACTACGGTTCATAAATTCATTTAGCTAAGAAACTGTAATTAGGTTGGAAGTTGAGAGACCTTAATTTAGCATAGTTCAGTTGGCCTTTAACTCATTTATCTGAAGCTGAAGGGCCACTGTCAAACTTGGTTAAAAGTTACGATATCACTGACATCCTCAAGAAACAATGCTTTTCAGGGCATTAAATAATTCATCATCATCATTCCAATCAAGAAATAAACATTAATTATCAATCAAAACTCAGAAACTAGTGGAAAGCATTTTATTCGCTTGCTTCAACATGCTAAGAATCTTGATGATGCCATGTAAACATTAATGTGACAATCCTATAAGTATGTTTTAAATGCATCATTGACAATTTTCCTTTTTTCCTATTTTTATTTTCAGGTAACTAATAAGTTGGCAAATTATTTTTTTTTCAAGAATCAAGTTAAAAAAACGATGAAAGTAATGGGGGAAAAAATCGATGAAAGTAAATTGTACCATCAGTTTATCACAGTTAACGAGTTTTGCGCTTTCTGTGCAGGCACAACTCCTGACCGAGTTTTGGAAAGAAAAAAAATATGGTAATTTTGAAGTGTTACCATAAAATTTTAGGTAAACTAAGCTAAGTTGAATTTGATTATGAGGACTACTAAACCAGTAGGTCAACCAAATTTGTAGAGAAGAGATGGATTCACCTGCAGAATTTTAACTTTTTTCCTCAAATCATCAACTAATTTTGTTGTTGGCCTTGTCTGAAGCTCTTTCTTGATCTCCTCAAGAGCAACATCCTGTGGGTTAACAAACAATAAAAAATGTCACAGAGCTGAAAACAATTACTAGATACGGAGAACCAATTTAAAAACAGAAACTATGAAATTTGAAGTTGAAAGGTCAAAGAATTCTGACAAATCAACCTTCAAACACGAGACATGTCGCTGCATGTTTCAAGCAATGAGTAAATTTTTGTTTCATTGCACATAGAAATAGATGAAATGGTTCCACTTACTGGCCTACCAAAATGAAACCATTATTGAACTCTGAAACTAGTGTGTTTAGACAGAAACGAAGTTAGTTTCCTCAATTTCAACATAAACACATGCTTGAGTCAAGAAAGCAGACAAAGTTGCTGCTCACAATTTTTTATTTTTAAGATTAAAAGCTTTTTGACTTTTAAAGGCAAGAAAACTCAGGAAAATTAGAAAAATTACACTATAAAAGAAAAAAAATAAAAAAGAATGAAGATGAACCGGAATTTGGAGAAGGTAAAGAAGAGCGTGCAAACTTTGCCCAAGTAGTGTTCTTTCTTAGCTAATCAAATCATCACTCAACAATCATTGCTGGAAACCAACCAGCAAGGTAGTAGGTTTACCAGTAATGTATTATGTTACAATATTAAATTATTATTATTATTTTAATATTAAATTAATTAAAAACTTATCATTTAAACATAGTTTTTATATTCTAAGGAACTTTACCTCGAAAATATATTAGTGAAAACTGCAAAATGTGTATTTAGGGCTCTCAAATTACAGTTACATGAAAAGTCACAGTTCAATGCACAAAAATTTATAAAATGTAAAGTAAATAGGGCTACAAGAAAAAGCACTGTTTATCTAAAAATGATGGTCAAACTGCCCTTGTAGCCTTTTTAAGGCGTTTATAGAAGGTGGTGCACTTTTGACCTAAAATGGTGTGTGAGTATACTAAAAGTGGTGCGCATGCGTACTCAAAGTGGTGCCTTGTTTTAGCAAGGGCAGTTTGGTCATTACCTAAAGATGAACAATTATTTTTCACACAATTATAAATTCTTCACATAACTTTGCATTTTTGTGTATTGAAATCTTAGAAATTTCATATAACTCAATACCTTTTCCTTTGTATAATTTAAATATTCTTTCCAAATCCAAATTAGTGTCCTGTTGTGGATGGGTATGCAGGTGTTAGACATAATAAAATAATTATTTCCGAGTCTTATCTTCAAATAAAAGTTCCCTTAACCTTTCATGTTTCCAAGCATTTTCATGAGTTTCCAGACTGTTTACCATTTAAATTATATCGAGAGGAATATCCTATTTGGTTTCTAAAAGACAATATATTGTCTTCCTTATTTTTTTGTGTAAATGAGCGGAATTGTAATTCTATGGATCTTCTTTTGGATTTTGTGGATAGTTTAAAGTTTTAGTGTCGTTATGGACGGCTTTGGTTTCCTTTGGGAGAGCTCCCCATTTGAGCGCCTTAAGTGAAATCTTCCTTATCAAATTTATATATATATATATAGCAAGAACTTTTTAGTTTGGAAAAGTTAGCAATATATATATATATATATATATATATATATATATATATATATATATTGCTAACTTTTCCAAACTAAAAAGTTCTTGCTATATATATATATATATATATATATATATATGCAGATGAAAAAAGTAATCCCATATTCATGCAGTTAATAACCATTTAAGAACTAAACCAAACATTACGAAATTAAGAAGACCTTACTAAAGCCAGCCATATAAATATAGAGCAACTGAGTAAGAAAGTTTTTCATTTATATAAAATTAGAAATATATGAGAATATGAAACATTTTTTCAGCTGGAGCTACCGCAGTTCATCTAAAAATGAAAGAAAAGAAGAAAAGGATAAAATTAATCAACATGAGTGGATTTCTGAATGGAGACACTGACCTAAACCCGTCTCCAAACACAAAATAGTACTGGTACAGAGGCAGACTTAAACCAAGAGTCTAGGTCAATGAGTGGTAGGATGGCAGCCAAACAAAGTTAATGGCTGTAGTTGACGGCCTAATGACATAGTCTGGCAAACATATCACCATAAAGTTTGCATTAGTCTTCTTCTTGCGTCTTGTGGGTCCTCAGCACTTGTATGGGCCACTTACCATCAACATATATTTAGGACCCATACCAGCTAAACCAGTTTGCCCTCGTAATATATTGCGGACAGCGGACCATTTAGGGATGACAGTATTAACATGCATGTCTTTAATTATTAGATGCTTCTGTTTCTGTCAGATAATATCAGAGAAGGCGCCTCAACTAAAACATAAAACATATATATATATATATATATAAGGAAACAATTGCTATTCAACATAAATAATCAATTTGATATTGACCGGACAGAGGGTAGGGAAAGTCAAAGCAGGAGAAGGGAAATAAATACAATATATATTATAATAACCAATAAAGCATTATTATACGTCAGTTGATACAAAATAAAGGACCTTATTGGAAAAAGCCTCAAAAAGGTATAAAATGAAAGAAAGCATTTTCATGATACTTTCTTGTTCGAGCACAAGCAGATGAAGAGGACTTTCCTAAGGCGGCAAAAATTCATTTACATGCTTATCAATAAGTGTATTAATTTTAAACAAGGACTAGTGCTGAAACAGAAAAATACCTTTTCAATGAGCATCAGATTCAACTTCTTGATTTCATTCACATGCTGTTCTCGTTCATTTGATAAGGTGGTTTCAATATTGTGAAGTTCCATGTTTAGTTCGGAGATTATCTTTTCCTTGGCACTTAAAGAATTCTCCAGGATGCTATTTGAATCCAAATTATCGCTGCAACCAGAGAATGAACAATAATATTACTGGTATAACCCAAAACAACATGTACTTCCAATGGCAAAAACACAAGATGAATGTAGAAATATTGGGAAAAAGGAAACAAAACCATAGAAATAACAATAAAATGCAGCCCAATTATAGCTGTTATACCGGGCCATTGGCATATTGAGTTAAATAGGAAGTCCGTTCAACTCAACGCCACAAAGCCTTAGAATTAGAACTACTTGTGGTCTTCTAAATAAGTCCCTTTTGTAATTTAGCTCTATCAAGTACCAAATCCTTATTAAGCCACATAGAATCATGCCTTCTCACATTGCCTCAATGCCATGCTCCTTCTGGCCTTGCCCTTAGCCTTGTAAGATCATTAAGTTGAATTAAATCATTTCCCCATTGAACACCAGCTCAACCCTTTTACTGTGAAAAGACTTTGTTGAGTTGATGAGGTATGAACTTTTGTAGAAATCACATATATTTTGGGGGATAAATACTTATACCTCAATTTGAATTGACGGTTGTTCTCGAAAATGACATCAGGAATTTGAATAAAATGAGCTGCTACCTTCAATTCTCAATAAATAAATAATAATAATAAGGTAGCATCCGTTCAGCCCATGGAGTGAAGCAAGGAAGGAGCAGCATAGGGTATTAAGGTGGTCAGTGGCACAGGTCCAGGTGTGGTCTTATAATGGTATTTATAACTTTTGTAATCTAAATACTAGGGAGGGCTAGACAAGCTTAACTACCGAAGAGTAATGCATGCAATAGAATTTTCAAGCCATTGATCTATTGAATTAATTTGGACGCAATTTCTTTCTCTGAAAGGAAACAAGAAAAAGAAAAAAGAAAAATACAATATTGAAGAAAAACAAACCAGGAATGAACAAGAGAAGCTTCTCTAGGCTTTCTAGTTCCTTTCAGATATGCAGCATATAAGCAACTATTCAATATTTTGGCATGTCTACTGATTCCCACCGAAATCCTAAGCACCTTTAGAAAACACAATCCAGGCCTAGTTTGATGCCAATAAAGGCTATTATTCCAACTTCGCATTTGCATCCTTTTTTCCAATTCAGTCACCATTTGTGAACTTCATGCAACTAAGCAAAGCACAGAGCAGAAATTCTGAATTCAATATTCACCAATTCCACAAAGATGATTACAAGCCTTTTTATGGGCTTAAAACTCCAATAAACAATCTTAACAATTACAATAAATCTCAAACCTTAGTTAAAATTTAGAAGAATGACAACCAAGCAAAGAAAAATATAGAAAACCATAATAGTACACTGCTACAATAGCACGAGGAGTAACAATCTATAATGACACAATATGGTGGCATGAATGGTCCTGCTTCAGTAAAATACCTCCACAATAGCTTCTTTATGGGGGATAAATACTTATACCTCAATTTGAATTGACGGTTGTTCTCGAAAATGACATCAGGAATTTGAATAAAATGAGCTGCTACCTTCAATTCTCAATAAATAAATAATAATAATAAGGTAGCATCCGTTCAGCCCATGGAGTGAAGCAAGGAAGGAGCAGCATAGGGTATTACGGTGGTCGGTGGCACAGGTCCAGGTGTGGTCTTATAATGGTATTTATAACTTTTGTAATCTAAATACTAGGGAGGGCTAGACAAGCTTAACTACCGAAGAGTAATGCATGCAATAGAATTTTCAAGCCATTGATCTATTGAATTAATTTGGACGCAATTTCTTTCTCTGAAAGGAAACAAGAAAAAGAAAAAAGAAAAATACAATATGGAAGAAAAACAAACCAGGAATGAACAAGAGAAGCTTCTCTAGGCTTTCTAGTTCCTTTCATATATGCAGCATATAAGCAACTATTCAATATTTTGGCATGTATACTGATTCCCACCGAAATCCTAAGCACCTTTAGAAAACACAATCCAGGCCTAGTTTGATGCCAATAAAGGCTATTATTCCAACTTCGCATTTGCATCCTTTTTTCCAATTCAGTCACCATTTGTGAACTTCATGCAACTAAGCAAAGCACAGAGCAGAAATTCTGAATTTAATATTCACCAATTCCACGAAGATGATTACAAGCCTTTTTATGGGCTTAAAACTCCAATAAACAATCTTAACAATTACAATAAATCTCAAACCTTAGTTAAAATTTAGAAGAATGACAACCAAGCAAAGAAAAATATAGAAAACCATAATCGTACACTGCTACAATAGCACGAGGAGTAACAATCTATAATGACACAATATGGTGGCATGAATGGTACTGCTTCAGTAAAATACCTCCACAATAGCTTCTTTATTTTAAGGATAAAAACTATTAAGTAAATAAAGCACATTATATATGATTCAATGAAGGCCACAACCTTTCCATTGGGTTTCCAAAATCTATATATTAGTCCAGCCAACTTATAGAGACATCACCAATTCCCCTCTGCTGAAACAACTCGACTCCTGTGAGTTAGGAGCAGGTCTAAGAATGTCATTAGGTAGAGAGATTCGTTAAATCAGTAAAAAGCTTTTCTTCCAAAACCACTTCAAAGCTTGCAAGTCTGGAAAAGGATTATACTTCTTAGAACCACCTAGAAAAAACGAGTGTTGACAAATCCAGCATGATGCACATCACAATCACACATCTATGTTTGAACCAAAAGTGTTTACAAAGTTCAAGTGGCAAAACAGCACATATAATTGTCTCATCGTTTTGACAATGCCAAGTGTTACTGGATGCAGTTTATCGACCTTTGACTTTGTGTTAGTGAACCAAGCACAAGATATGACTCTGGTGTCTGGGGGTGGTTCAATCTTCAATATCAATGATATCAAATAGTATAACTCCCAGTGTCGATCACCAATGAACATACTTGTCCTCCACATCCAACCCTTGACTGGAATTTCTTTCCTCTACTACTTTTGGTTCTTAGACTCTTTAGTTTCCTTTGTGCTTCTCAGTTGACTTCACTTGACACCCACGCACGGAAGTTCATTCATTCTGAGTTGTTGTTTTCCCTTTTGAAGACCCCAAAAAGGACTTTTCGTAACTCCTCTTCCATCGAGTAACTGAGACTTCAGATTTGTGATTTCAGTCTCTGCTGATTAACAGAGATCATAACATCTTGGTTCCATGGAAATTCCAATCACTTAACCAAGATATGAAACTTTACTGCATGCTCTGATGCAGAAACTCCCTTGCACTAAACCAGCTCACTACAACAGGAGCATGATCATAGCATGCTACAGTAAAATAAATAGAATGTCACTATAGGAGCTTGCTACCTCAATTTCTCTACTTACATGATGAAAACTACAAATACATAAAGCCCAATATGACTTGTAATTAAAAAACCTATCAACCAAGACCACCAGAGATTTTTCCTCACACCAGAATAGCTTCTGAATCATATGGAATCAACAACATTCATTTGGGGAATCCAAACCCCATGATATTTGACAAGCCAGCTTCTACCAATAATTAAACTTGAAATATATTATATGTTAACTTATTGAGCTAAACAATAAAGATAGCTATTGTGACCAGAAAGAAGTTGTCGTTCATTTAGGTTTATGCTCTTTTGGCAGGATTTTGAAACTACATTTACAATTTCAAGGATGTAGTCAAATAACATTGCTCTTTATGCACAAACCTCAGGGTTAAGGATCCTTGAGATTTGAAATCCCACCACTTTCCACATTCTCTCATTTCCCCAACACCCCTCAAAGTAGAGTAAAAAATAAATAAAATAAAATAAAACAGAGAGAGAGAAACGAAAAAAAAAAAAAAGAGGATGCGAAATGCCAATTATTGTGCTTATTCTTTTCTTCCCTAAGTAACTATTGTGCTTAATGCATCCATAAAAAGGAGCAGAAACATAATGGATTTTACACCTGTGTCGAACTCAAAAGAGCACAATATTGCCCAACCTAAGCCAAAATGCCGAGAGAGAAAAACAAAATAAAAAATAGAACATAGAAGTTGGGCTGATTTAAATACTAGACATAAATTCAAATTCCTTCATAGCATCAAGCTGGCAGTTCTAAGCTGGCCAGACAATTTTAAATTTCCATTAATTTGGCCAATGTTTAAACCAAGCGTGAGGATACAGGTTCGAAAATGAGAGCCACTCCCAGTCCCACCACCCCACCTACCAGCACTAGATGATGGCCTTTTCTTTTTTCGACCAATTTTCTCATATGTTCAACTACATTTTTGTCAATCCAAAAATCCAAATTCTTATTCAAAATTTTAAAAACTATCCTAATTCGTTTTTGTGGCCCATATCAAACTTTGACTAAGAGTCAAATAAAAGGTTCCTTAGTAAACCAAATCATAACTTAATTAACTTATGGAAGTTGATCATACTTTTGAAGAATTACTTTTAAAAAATTAATGGGAGATGACTATTGCATCTGAGCTGCTCAAATTCCATATACCCAACACATGATTGTGGAACGAGCCAACCATTGCAAGCTCAACTCCAATGCTTGGTTCCAGTGGTCCATATCTCATCCAGTAAATCAAACATAGAATCAAAAACTTAATATTACAATATTGTTTACTAAAGAGTAAGAGATTAACAAATGATGTGATTTAGAACATCATCAATCTGAAATCATGTGATCCAAAATTCTCGCCATAAGCTAACAACCTTACAGAATCAAATAGTTACAACAAGACAGAAACACGCTACTGCCATATCTTTGGATGTCTAAATAGTTAAACCAAACTGAGGGGGAGGAAACAGGGAAGAGGGAACAAAGAGTCTGAATGAATGCAAATGTACAGATATTGATAGTTGATAACCTCACCTTTTCTTATTTCCATTATCTTCATTTGCTGATTGTAACTGAGAACGTAGAAGTCCCTGCAAAAGTTCAAATGAAAATTTGGGTCACTCAACCAATTTTACTGAAGAACCCACGAGAAAAGGAGTAAAATAGGCAAACCTTCTTCTCCAATCTGAAGATATTAAAAATAGAAAATGTAATTTTAGAAACAAAAAAAAAAAAAAAGGGACATTGATTGAAGATAAATTGATCCTACATGAGGCTGTGCAATCAAGACCGCTCAACGACCAAGCTCTAAGACACAATGATGAGAAGCTCGTCATAAATAGCTAAATAGCTAGAAAGAGGTTACAGCAGTGTATAGAAGCTAGTGCATTCTTTTTATTGTTATTGTTCTTAACTTCTTAGTTCTAATTTTATTACTTTTTGGCAGAGAAGGTTAATGCATTTAGCAACACAGCAAAGATAAGTTGCTCTGCATGTTCAATGGTTGGCAACAACCTGAGAAAGGCCCTTCATCTATAAAAAGCAATTGTACAAGCTAGTAAGCTACAACAACTTATCCAGAGTTCAAGAACCCTGGTTTTGGTGGATACAGGTGTGGGTAGATCAAACAGAATTACAAGAAAATTTTGATACTTCAGATTGCAAGTTTCTCCTATGCTTTTCAAAAGGTCATGCTTCCCGTGTACAATCAAAGATCACTATACTTGTCCTCTTCTGGTACAGCAGGAGACAGCTATAACTACCAAAAATGGTTCCTAAAAATCTAAAATCTTGCAATCCGAGATGGACCTGTCCAGGCCAGAAACCTTAACAATAGAACCTGCTTTACATAAAAGCCAATCCACCAAGAAAAGTAGGATTATTTGGGGTGCGCAGAGGAAGAAAAATGTTCATAAATTGGCAATTGATTACTTGTTCAGCAAGACAAAGAAAGAAATGAAAGCAGCTTCTAAGATAATATCTCTGTCAAGGTAGACATGGAATTAGAGTTCCACATGGAACTTTCTTGAAGATAAACTGATCCGTGGAGAATAACATGTTGCGCAAATTTTGTATTATATTGCTGGTTTTTTAAAACCATTTCTACCTAGAAAGATATAAGAAAAAAAAAGCTGCAATATATTCAACTTTGTTAGCAGAGTACGGCACCCGTGAAATAAGATTTCTTTTTCATCCAAATTAATTTTGGTTACAATGGTAATAATTAATTTTTTTTTTTGACAAGTAAAAAATTTTATAAAGAAAGCGCTCAGAAGGGGAGCGATACACTGGTAATAATTATTAATATCTGCATGTTATCTGCTAATTTTGCAAATGCATAACATTGCACCAAATGCATAACAATCATATTCTAGAATAACATTTTGTTTTCACTTGTTTTGAAGAACTAATGTAATAAAAGGAACATAACAAACATTCAAGGAAAAAAAAGGAACATAACAAAAGATCTCTATGTACAATTAGGGGTGGCAAACGCGCGAGTTGGGTCGGGTTTGGTCGGTGTCAAATATGGGCGGGTCGAATATGGGTTGTGACCCATATTCAACCCGCTTGTAATGGGTTAAATATGGGTTGGGTCAAAATGGGACGGGTCAACCCGTCATGACCCACCAACCCGTTTTAGGAAAAAGAAATGTTATTATTTTGGATAATCTCATTATTATAGTTTTTTTTTTTATTTTAGATGGATAAAAGCTTGTAAAAATATGAATCGGTAATTGTAAATTCTCCAAATTATTTTGAAAATTCTTTAAATTTATAATATTTTATTTTATGACTAGACATGCATGAAGGTAAGATATATATAAATATATATATATATATATATGAAATCAACTATTAAGCTTTTTATAGAATAAATAATTAAATGAATAAATCGGGTATTCCTATATACATAATACACATGAATACATTGTATATGTGTTGTGGATGTAGCAGAGTAATACTATAGTACTACAAAGAATTTTAGAGAGAGAAAGAGGATGATGAGAGAGAATCTTAGAGAGAGAGTGGAAGAGAGAGAATTTGGGATCGTGTGAGATAATTTTAGAGAGGAAGAATAGGTGAATTTGAGTCCAATAGATGATGTAAAACTGTCTTTCTTATATAATGGGAGAAATATGGGTCAAAATGGGTGACCCATATTCAACCCATTTAACCCTCTAGAAAAATGGGTTAAATATTATTTGCCCATTTTGACCCTTTTTTTTTAAATGGTTCACCCATATCCATTTTTAAATGGGCGGGTTGGTGGGTCATGACCCATTTTGCCACCCCTATGTTCAATTATATAATAAGCTTGAGCCTTTAATCTATATACTTGAGTTTGAGAGAAGCCTGAATGCCTCATTCATCATGCAGATTCTCAAGAAAAGAGGTGAGGTTAACTTGAGTTTTTTTTTTTTTTTTTTTTTGATAAGTCACTTGAGGAGTTTTGACTAATTAGCTCAGTGGGGAGCAGGCTGCAAGGCACTGTCTTGGAATCTCATAACATATTGATTGGGAAGGAAAAACCTTAATGCAATGCAATTCTAGTGCCCAATGAGAACACAAAACCAATACTGCGTTATGACAAAAACTATTATCACGTAGATAAAATATTAAAATAAAGAACGGTGTTAAGAACCTGCAAGAAACCAATAAAGGGGAAAAAAAGAAATAAAAAACAAAAAATGAAGAGGAAGTTGTGAGATATAAATACATTTTGGGGAGATTGTGAAAAATATATATTTTGTAAATTGGCTAATTTCGTTGTCAAAACAAGTCCGATCGAGTTGTAATTTTTCAATTCAAAATTTCAAGATTGAAGATCGGATGCGGATTTGAAGATGTTCAAGTGTTCATGGTTTACTAAACTTCGGGATGATGAGAACAATGCTTTAGAAAGTTTTGTAAGTTAGTGAGAACACTTGGGAAGATTTTGGAAGTTTTCCTTGGAAGAAAAACATCATGTCCAACTAGAACTGGTTCAAGAATATTCGACAGGTTCAACTTTTAGGGTTCTATGGAAAAATTCAAGATTGGGCATCTAGAACCGGTTCAAGAATTCCTGAACCGGTTCAAGAATCTTACGGATTCTTCGAATTCCTTGCTGCCCTTCTTGAACCGGTTCAAGAAGTCCTGATCAGTTTATAGCTTCAGCTTCCTTAATTCTTTTTTATTCCTTTTTGAACCCAACTTCCTTCCAAGTCCTATGCACGAAATTTTCTAGGTCTTCCTAACTTCTATATAATGCCTCTTTCATTCAACATTGAGGTACGACTTTTGCATACAAAATTCAGATCTAATTGAGAGCCATCTTTGAGAGATTTTTATTCAGAAAATCAATCTGATTTTTCTGATTTTATTTTTGAGAGCACACATATAAACACAGGAGTGATTTAGGAGTATTGTTCTCTATCTCATCGGAATTGGAGCATAATTGAAGATTCAGAGATTCCGAAAAGCAGAATTCATTCATTCTTCATCAAATCCAGATCTTGAAGAAAAGAGGTGAAGCGATCACACTTTGAAGAGGTCAAAGTATTCGTGGAGTGTTGTTTGATCTACCTGCAACTCTTGTGCAGAGATCAAGAGTAAGCCTGAGGTCGAGAGCTGTTGGAGGAAGAATAGGGCTTTGGCTGATATTGCGGAGATTGATCGATTGGAAGGGGAGGGTGCTATTACGGAATCTCAACGCAATAGAAGAGCAGCTTGCCAGACAAAATGTGAGGAGATTGCTCTTTTGGAGGAAATCTCGTGGCGTCAGAAATCTCGGGCATTATGGCTCAAAGAGGGGGATCGTAATACGAAGTTTTTTCACAGAACTGCTAATGCTAATAGGAGGAGCAATCATATTGGGCGGATGTGTGTGGATGGTGCTGTTTTGTCTTCAGAGGAGGAGGTGCGAAGTGCTATTGTCTCTTTCTATCAAAGACTTTATTCTGAGCCTCTTCGTTGGAGACCTCGTCTAGATGGTCTTCACTTCGATTCTATTTCTGCCTTGGAGAGAGATGGGCTGGAAAATCCTTTTTCGGAGGAGGAAGTGCTGAAGGCTTTAAAGAGTTGCAATGGTGATAAGGCTCCAGGTCCTGATGGTTTCACGATGAGATTTTTGTTGGAAAGCTGGGAGGTGGTACGGTACGAGATTATGGGCACTTTTCATGAGTTCCATTCCACGGGGCGATTTGAGAAATCGCTTAACGCATCTTTTATTGCCCTTATTCCTAAAAAGGGTGGTGCTTCTAATATCAAGGATTTTAGACCCATTAGTCTGATCGGGTGCATTTACAAGATCATTGCAAAAGTCCTTGCCTTTAGATTGAGGGAGGTCCTGGATGGAGTTATCTCTGAGTCTCAGAATGCTTTCGTTGGGGGTAGACAGATTCTGGATTCCGCTCTTATTGCTAGCGAATGTGTGGATTCTAGACTTCGTAGTGGGACTCCTGGTGTTCTGTGCAAGCTGGATATTGAGAAAGCCTATGATCATGTTTGCTAGAATTTCCTGTTCTATCTGTTGGAGAGGATGGGTTTTGGTGAGAGATGAAGGAAGTGGATTGTTTCTTGTGTTTCCACTGTCAGGTTTTCGGTGTTAGTGAATGGCTCTCCTTCGGGGTTCTTTGGCAGTTCTCGTGGGTTGAGACAGGGGGATCCTCTCTCCCCTTTTCTTTTTATTATTGTTATGGAGGCCCTTAGCAGGCTGATGAGAAGGGCGGTGGATTTGGGTTTTCTTAGGGGTTTCAAGATTGGCCCTGAATCAGTTCAGCAGTTGGAGATCTCTCATTTACTTTTTGCGGATGACACTATTGTTTTTTGTGAGGCTGATATATCCCAGTTGAGGTATCTGAGATGTGTTTTGGTTTGTTTCCAGGCTGTTTCTGGTTTGAAAGTTAACGTGGGAAAGAGTGTGATTGTTCCTGTGGGGGACGTTCAGGAGGTGGACACTCTAGCTGCTGTTCTAGGATGTGGGACGCAACGCTTTCCCATCTCGTACTTGGGTTTGCCGCTGGGGGCCTCGGCTAGGAGGGTGGGAAGTTGGAACCCGGTGATTGAGCGGGTCGAGAGAAGATTAGCGGGTTGAAAAAAACAATAT